AAAGCCCTCCAGTTGAGACAATCCAACAATGAAACAGTTTCACCTCTATAGCAAGCCACATGGAGTATAACAGAGGCATGTAATGAGTGTTTGTGAGAGAGAGAGAGAGAGAGAGAGAGAGAGAGAGAGAGAGAGAGAGAGAGAGAGAGAGAGAGAGAGAGAGAGAGACTCACGAGCAGGCCTTCGCTCCACCGATCAATCTTCATTGCTTGCAAACGACATATGCATGGATGATATGATTTTGGGGGGTTCACTGTAAACTCGACGGACGAACGGGCCACCGAGACTTTTCCCTTAGAATTCTTCTGTGTTTCTGCCGCGGCGCCGCTCCTCTCTACCCCCACTCTTGTTGGTGAACCCTGAAGGCATTGCTGCTGAAAACTTCTGACAAAGGCACGGCATGCACTCGTTCCACGCAGGTAGGCGTGACCTACCTACCCCAGCATCACGACTGCATTTCGACTGGAAAGGGGGTTATGGTCTGGAAAGAAGTTGGCAGAATCATTCCAACCACATTCGACGCCCCATTCATGATGATGGAGAGCAATGTTCGGCAGGAGGAGGTAGAATGTTTTCATTCTCTGTTACATGCAATTTTCAGGTCATACTACGTCCGACTGCTTTGCACAACGTCTAGGTTGCACAGGTAGGTGCACAGGTAGAGGGAAGACGGTAGATGTACTCTCCCACTGGGATCACAGATGTGCCTCCCTCCACTCCTCCCTCCGGGGGATCACTGTGACTGGGATGCTATACTCAATGATGTAGCGTGGTACATGACGAGGACCACTATTTTCTTTTTGCGAGTCGCTTTAAGCGAAACCACACCATGCTGTGTAAAATGGAAAACAAACAAGATGTTCAAAGAGAACCGACATTGTGGTTGGAAAGATTCGCACCTCGTCAAACACGACGTACTCGACGCTGCGCAGAGACATCTCCTCAACCTCAGATAAGTGATGCATAAGACGGCCCGGTGTAGCAATGATGATGTCCGGACTGTTGGAGAGCGCCTCAAACTGTCGCAACACAACCACAGAGATCCATCAGTTGCATCCATAACCCTGAACCCTAAACCCTAAACCCAAGGCCAAGGCCTGGGGCTCTAGCTACCGCATCTGTTTGGCAGGCCCCGCCAGGCAAAGAAGAAGATATTTTGGGCCTCAACTGGCTCTACTTCTTTTGGTGCACAACGGAAATCCGGGCCGCGAAAAGAAAAAAAAGGGGGCCCGGAGGAGGGCCTGGTGGTATAACTGCCTTGATCGGACACCACGAAGACAACAGACAAAAACAGCAAATCCAAATTTGTACAGCGTCAACACAATCATTCACAGTGTCAAAGTGATTGGTCACCAGATTCTGGGCCTTGCTCCACCACTCGCCAAATGTGGCAAAATGAGAATGAATCTTCCGCAAGAACACGGAAAGATACACTGCCAGCATTTTTGTCTTTTGTGCATGCGGTGAGTGGAGGAGCAAGGCCCTATAGCCGCTCACAAGCAGTTGGCAGGCACTCGTTAAAAAGCAAACAAACAAATAAGCACGGAAAGGAACGCACTAAACATTCCTCTTTCCTTTGCTGGGCCAATTTCAAAGATGCTTCATGATTCCAACGATTCAGACGCACCATCTCCTGCCTTCCCCGAATAAAACGCAAGGTCATTGTAGCTGTATTTAGGTCAACTTCCGGTCTAGATGCAGTGATAATGCCCTAGTCCAGGCCACCGGCAAATCTTCATCGACAACAATGGACCTGAGGCCCAAAACAGTGATATTTGCAAGTGCACACAGTGCAGCACTGCCAGAGAAGATTGGCACTGGGCCAGCAGGGGCGCTTTCGAAAAAGAAGGGCACTCTTCTTTTTCTTTCACAGCCCCCAGCCCCTCGCACCCCGGACGAGCACACATGCATTGCTTGGGAGAGGATACCCCGAGTAAACAGTGATGACATGCAATCTGCACCGTTGCTGATATTTACGTTCTCCCACAACATAGGGCGGAGTGTTTAACACGTTCGCAATCTCTTTCCAAACTCATTTAAAGAAAGGTGTCATTATCCAATACGTCGAATACGAGAGTAATTGAATATTTGACTGGGCTACCGACCAGGCCGCCCACCTTGGTCGGGCTGGGCAAGGGCCAGGGAGGTCCCTGAACAAAAAAAAAAAAAAAAAAAAAAAAAAAAAAAAAAAAAAACATTTTTAAGCAGAAAACAAACTGAACAACTTTCACCTCAGGGTCACAGCGAAATTCTTTACCAAATTAAAAGTGAAAATAGAAATAAAAAATATATATTTTTAAATATTATTATTTTTTGGCCCGACCAGGCAAGTGGTCCCGGGCCACTCTGCTATTTGAGGAATGAAATGACCAAAAAAATATGTATTTGCTCATTTATTCAGTTGTTTATTTATCCTCTTTTTTTTTACATTTATCAATTTACTTATTTCTTTATTTATTCATTTGTTTGGCGCATCGATCGTTGCAAAATGATTAACACA